GACTTTGGAGCCTGCCTGGTGGTCCCACAGTGTTTCCGGGGGACAGTGGTTCCACAGTCAAAGCAAAGTCAAATGTTGTTATGTTCAAATTAACGAGTTCCAGCACATGTCCCATAATGTGGCAGGCCCTCACAACCGAGCCCACGCACTGAGCAGTGAATGTCCCCCACGGGGAAGGACGTGGGGTTCATCACCCCAAGTACCCTCGGGGACCTTCCTGCAGGCACCTCGCAGGCTCCGCCACGGCCTCCGCCTTCCCACACAGCGCCTGGCAGAGTCGAAGCTGAAGCCCACCTACCCAGCTCTCCACCCGAGATGGAGAAGTCCCTCTCGAGAACAGCTCACTTCTGGATGCGGTAGGGCTGGGCCATCGCATTCCTGTTGACCCTCTGGATGCCCTCTTCAATGGCCCGGTACACAGCCTCATCCTTCGTCCCCACGATCTCGGACACTGTGGTGGCTGTGCTGCCCACCCGCTGGCAGAACTCCACGGCCTGCTCGGCCAGGTGGTCAGTCGGGTCCGACGTGTCCGGGTCCAGAACGCACTGAAAAGCAGACCGGGTCAGGGCCGAGCTGGTCACGCTGCTGGTGTCGTGGTGGGGTGTCACCGTGAGCTCCAGATCTAGCGGGACAAGGCTGTGGCCCCATCGTGCTGAGCCCGGGGTGCTGGACGGGGCAGTGGTCCGAGACAGAAGACCTCAGACAACAAAATCGCAGGTGGGACAGAGACCGTGCCCCCGGCGGCTCCTCCCCGGAGGCCAAGCACCCGCTGAGCTAAGAAAAGCAGCAGCACTTCGTGACTCGGCTACGCCGGGACCCGTGCCGCCGACCGCACCCCCAGGGGCAGGAGGGCCTACCTGGGCGCCAGGGGCACCTCGGCCATGCCAGATATGTCCTGGCTGTGCGTGGCTTCCTCTTGGGCCAGGCCCCAGACACACCTTCAGGGTGAGCAGCATGGACAGGAACTTCCTCTGGTCCCCAATCAGCATGGCGCAGCTGACGATGGGCAGCTCCTTCCTCACGGCGTCCTCAATGGGTTTCGGGGCCACGTTCTCCCCGCCGGATGTGATGATGAGTTCTGGGAGGCAAGGCCAGGCCCCGCTGAGCCTGGAGCGGGCCTCGGCCGGCACCCCTGGCACGAGCCGCAGCAGCACTGTGGGACACTCAGGGAGGCCCAGAGGAGCAGCATCCCCGGAACCCCTCACTCCTGCTGGGGGTGGCACTCCCAGAGGACAAACACTCATCCGGGGCTCCCCCACCCCGCTCATCCCCCAAGACTCGCCCGCTCACACGTCCCGGCCGCCAGGCCTCAGCAGACCTCCTACCTCACCCCTCAGGTCCCCATGTCGCCCCTCCCAGCCTCTGCTGAGTGACCACCACCCGTCGCCTACAGAGCACTGACCACATGTGGGCACCGTGCCAAGTGCTGTGCGCATGGTAAGTCATTCAACCCTCACCACAGGCCTGTGACACGGCATCCTTCTCGTTTTACAGATAAGGGGCCCAAGGCACAGAGAGGTCAAGGGGCTTGTCCAGGGTCACGGGGCAGAGCTAAGGGTAGTGCGGTCCCGCAGTCCGTGCGCCTCCCCACCTTGCTGGAGGCCTGTCAGCTTGCTCACTCCTTCCCGCCGGGACACCCTCCCCTTCGCCCTGTCAACAGATGGCCTATTCTTCAGGACCGGCTCGGCCACTTCCTTCACGAAGCGTGTCCAGCTCTGCCCGGCCACACCCGCTCTGCCTCCTCCGAGCCATGCTCACAGTGCCCTTCCCTTGGTCTACTCTTCCATTCAAATTTGCACTGGGTGTGTCTGGGCCCTCGACGCT